CAAAACTGAAAGAGCGTGGGTACTCTAAACGATTTTTACGAAACATAAAAAATTCCACCTTAGCACAGATAGCGGCTAAAAACAGACTTTATGCCGAAGTACCTCCAGGTTTAAGAAGTGCTCCATGTTTGTCCAGTAGATGCAAAACATGTCCCTTTATATCAGAAACTCATTATTTTGTAAGCAACTCTACGAATAAATGGTACCCGATCCAGGAACATCTAACATGTGAACATTCGAATGTAATATATTTAATTTCATGCAAGAAATGCCCCAAACAATATGTAGGAGAAACTAAGAATAATTTACGAACTCGCTTTAATGCTCATAGGTCAGACATCAAATTAAAGAAAGACAAGCCTGTTTCTAATCATTTCAACCTCGACGACCATTCAATAGACGATCTCACCCTAATCCCAATTGAGCGTATAGAAATTGACTTGCCCGAAGATGAAACTACCAAATTCCGTCAATCTAGGGAGGCCCATTGGATTGAGACATTGAATACAGCAAGACCTATAGGACTAAATATTCATCATAATGTAGGCATAGCACCCTTTGTTGTCCCGTTTAATACAACCAGCAATCGAGCAAGCAAGATAGTTCATGCCCACTATAAGAGCCTTCAAGAGAAATTCCCCCATGTCTATAAGCAGAAAATGATAGTTGCATATTCAAAAAATAAGAACTTAAATGATAATATTGTTCATAGTAAACTAAAAACAAACAGTACATAACAGATACTATACTTCTCGCCCATCGGGTGAGTTATTTTTTCTAATTTCAGATCAGAATAAGAACAGAAGAAAACCCAATATCAAGACCCTTAATCCTAATTTCTAAATAAAGTGTCTGCTCCACCCTAGGCCTGTACATTTGGGAGAATCAAACCCTCCCTTCCCCGAAATATAATTAGATATATATATATATTATTATCTATACACAGATTATCATATTTCTCATTTCGTATCTATAATTAAATATATATATATTATTATCTATACACAAATAATCATATTTCTCATTTTGTATCTATAATTAAATATATATATATTATTATCTATACACAGATTATCATATTTCTCATTTCGTATCTATAATTAGATATATATATATTATTATCTATACACAGATTATCATATTTCTCATTTCGTATCTATAATTAGATATATATATATTATTATCTATACACAGATTATCATATTTCTCATTTCGTATCTATAATTAGATATATATATATTATTATCTATACACAGATTATCATATTTCTCATTTCGTATCTATAATTAGATATATATATATTATTATCTATACACAGATAATCATATTTCTCATTTCGTATCTATAATTAGATATATATATATTATTATCTATACACAGATTATCATATTTCTCATTTCGTATCTATAATTAGATATATATATATTATGATCTATACACAGATTATCATATTTCTCATTTCGTATCTATAATTAGATATATATATATATTATTATCTATACACAGATTATCATATTTCTCATTTCGTATCTATAATTAGATATATATATTATTATCTATACACAGATAATCATATTTCTCATTTCGTATCTATAATTAGATATATATATCTTATTATCTATACACAGATTATCATATTTCTCATTTCGTATCTATAATTAGATATATATATATTATTATCTATACACAGATTATCATATTTCTCATTTCGTATCTATAATTAGATATATATATATATTATTATCTATACACAGATTATCATATTTCTCATTTCGTATCTATAATTAGATATATATATTATTATCTATACACAAATTATCATATTTCTCATTTCGTATCTATAATTAGATATATATATTATTATCTATACACAGATTATCATATTTCTTAATTATAATCAGATAAAATATAGATTATCATTTATGCACAGATTAGGCTTATCATATTCATATTTCTTATCTAAAATTAGATTAAATATACATTATCATCGTTATCATCTATACACAGATTATCATATTTCACATTTCTTTTCTATAATCAGGTAGAATTTTCATTATCCCGTACGATTATCTGTGTAACTATAATTATTATCTATACACAGATAATCATATTCCTAATCTATAATCAGATTAAACATGCATTATCATAATCATTATCATTATTGTTACACAGATAATCATATTTAATATTAATCATGAAAGAAGATATAAAATAATCTTGCCTCTCCCCACACGGTACATGTCTGACCAGGTATAAACATATTTGGTATGATATTTTTTATATACCACTCAAAATTCCTACAATTTAGTTTCTTCTTTAAAGCCAGTTTACTCGATATATCACCTATATCTTCCTACAATAAAATACAGTAACGTTTGAAATTTCTTAAAGTCTTGTTAAAAGTCTGAAAATAAAAGTTAATTGCGTTTCCCATTCATAAAAACGTATGACAACAATTCTATGATACGTAAGAATCTTACCTTACAGGGTCCGCATACTTGTTTGTGATAAATAACGTAATCATCTAACCAGGTTTCAGCCAGACGATGAAGGTTTCTTTCCAATGTTTTAGACTGAGTTGTGTTACCCCAGTCATAAGGCAACCTACTCTTATAAACATGACCAACGTGTGAACAGGGTGAAACTACCAAACTACCTCCACACATCCATGCCTAAAAATGAATTTCGTTATATAATAAAACGATTCAGACTATTCTTTGATTTACGACATTAACTACACCCAAATCTTCTCTATCTTGTTACAGCCCGTATTGGCCGCTAGTTCTTCTACTTAAACATTACCTTAAAAGATATCTCTAAATTTTCACCGCCCCAAATGAAGAAACCCTCGTCAAATTTTTCTGTTTCTTCAAAAAACCTGCGGCTTACTCCGATTAAACAGCCAATAAGAGTTGGTGATCTGAAAGAACAAATATTACATAATATACACCATATTTTTAGTATAAATTATCTCCCTTGATATTATCAAATTGGAACAAAGTTGACATGCATTTTCCGGTTGTATTTTATAAATTTAATGATATTTGTATTCAATGATGAGATAGAGTATTTTGCAGACTTGGCAGAACTGAGACAGGCAGAGGTGGCATCCGCCCCCCCACCCCCCAAAAGCAAGTTCTTTGGGCAAAAATCTCATAACTAGGTTAAAGATTCGGGCAATCTTGATATCTCGCCCCCGCCCTCCCCCCTCTCGAACGTAAACCTGGCTCCGCCACTAAACATAGAATTGCTATCCTGAACCAAGAAACTCATTTTTCAGTTTCAATTTACAAGGGTAAAAAGCCTTTAATCCACCAATTCATAGGAATTCGTACATAGAAAAATAAAATACGCACCCAACTGGTAAATATCGTGGTTTATCATACGATTTTCTATCCCATTTAAATATTAATCTCCAATCAAATATACCAATAGGTGCTGATTTCTCTATGTCGTATGTTCTATATCGGAAGTCGTCTCCCTCTATTACATCCATTACTGACGTCACTACCGTTCTATAATCTGATGCTATGGCATCCAACAGAGGTTCAATCCATCCTGTAAGGACAATAGTGTAGTCACTAATAAACTAAGCATTTTTTATGGTGTTTGTAATTATGGTATGGTAACTATGATTTTGGGCAACTGGTTTCACAGTGCAAACACTTCAATAGTTTTTCATACATAATAACATAGCATCGTATCAGGAATCCTGGTTAGAAGTATGATGAATGAGGTTGTGGTAAGGACACGATGACTAACATAAATACTTAAAAGTATATTACTGTATTTTTACCTTTGGTAACTTCACAATGAGAATCCAGAAATATTACAGCACTACCACTTGATACGTCATATCCTCTTAGTCTGGTTCGAATTAGTCCACCTCGAGTCTTTAGTCTGACCAATTTGACTTTGGGATAATGTACAAGGTATTCTTCTAAATCCTTTTGTAAATGAACTGAAATAAAGATTTCTTATAAATTTGGTTATAGAAATGTTCTTTTTTTAAATCTAACTTGTTGTTAATCAAATCAAAATTACTAAAATCAACAAACCCAAGTTGTACAGTGGTATCGAGCATAATGTTCCTAAAGAGTGGGAATGCTCTTACACGTTTTTGATACCCATCGTGATACAATTACGGGAGCACATGGTGTAAGTACGAAAACTGTTAGATAATTATTCTTCTTATGTTCGTACACACATGATTATTAAATTGTTAAAACATACCAAAAGTTGAAGCATCATCAGACAGTATGATTTCTTTCAGTAGCTTTGGTGGTGTTCTATTTAAAACACTGTGTATTGTACGCAGTAGCGTAGACCAGGCTTCATCTCGAAATGGAATGATTATACTTACATCGGGCAAATCAGATCGAAACGTCACATTTTTACACCTTAAATAAAAAAGTAACATCTCTCGGGTGTCCATCGAGGTGGGGACAACAGTGGTGGGGACACGATATGGTTGGACCCCACCACATTTTGAGGGTATTATGATTATCAAAATGCATGGTACGAAATAGTTGATATCCAATTCTTGATTTTTAATTCGAAATGCGTGTTAGAGGCATTCCCGGCGATTAAATTTTCAAAATTTTCTCGACATGGTGGTGGGGGAGTCTTCGCAAGGGCGCCGTACACTCATATCTTAATAGCGGGTCCCCAACCTTTGCCAGCCTGAACATCTTGATTGTTTTTAACCATGACGATAGTGAGTCAACACTCAACAGCACTGAGTTGACAGTTGTAAAAAAAACCTTATCGCTTTATAAGTCTTTCGTTTACAATTTTAATGCGTCATTTTCGGCAAAAGTACCGAAAATTAATTAGGTTTAGGCTAATACAAGCATAACTCTTAGTGGTTCCCTATATGATGATTAAGATATTAAAGGAATACTACGTCTTACAATGAAGATAAAATTTAAGAATTTTAACTTTGGCCAATAACAGCATATATCTTTGACAGTAGATATACCTTGTGTCATAAATAACATAACAGGATCCTTATATAATCCAATAAATCCAACAAAACTTTGTAATCATCCATAAATATGTAATATTAAGATTAAGCGTATTTCAATAATTACTTAGTTTTATCAATTTTCAAATTTTCCAGATTTTCCAGGGATTCTGTTACGTTATGACACCAGGTATGTTCACTGATGAATATATACTCATATTGACCATTCTTGACAACTTAAATTTTATGTTCATTCTAAGACATAGTATCACTTTAAAGAAGCCATAAAAATTGATACAAGTGAATCTGTACTGTTATTGTTTATATAGAATCCGAAATTCTATAGTAGATACAGATAAAATTGGAGATACAAACTGGAGATACAAACACAAAATAAATTTTAAAGAAATCTTAACTTACTCTGGAAATCTATAATCGGGTAAATTTCTATTTAAAGAAATCATATCACTGACATATTGATTAAAGGCATTTCTATGCCATCCCTGGTTGTAGGCCTTTTTCTGCTCTTCTGTTAAATCTTGTAATCTCATAGCCACGCCTACTCCCATTTCACCTGTTGCCATAGAAATCAATACAATATTGCAGTTCACGTGTTTACTTTAACAGTTCAAGTATTTAAATCCGGTTTGTATTTGGAAACAAAATGCGGAAAAAAAAATCCCAAGACACTTTGGAGATATATTGCCACCTTTGAGCAACACGATATAAAAAAGCTTTTAGATTTCCCATCACTCAAGAGTTTTGTTCTTACCTGGCGCTGACGAATTAATGTCGTATTTTACTTCATAAGCATTATCATCGTGATACACGTCTTTCAATTTGTGTACACTGTACACAGAGTTAGTCACTGTTCTCAAATCTCTCACAGCTTCTCCAACATAGACACCTGTCTTAACTCTGTCCTCTTCCACTTCAGACTTAAAACTCATACGAATCCAAATAATGAATACCACTATTAAAGCCACGATAAAATATCGAGCTATTAATTTATGACCCATTTTGACTTTAAATTGTCGTGTAAATGACATAACAACTTAGCCTATAAAAGACCAGGAATCAAACTCACACTCAAACAATTTACAATTTACTATATACTATTTACTATTTACTATTTCATCAACTTCTTTGTAAACTTTCAAAAAAGCAGAATCATTGATAGCAATAAACTGTGCACAGATACCACAAAATCACAGTTAAAAAAAAAGCATCCTGTACTTTTCAGCCTTATTTAAACAATCCATCAGACATGTCACAAGCCACGAGTAATGCTATGATATTATATTCCGATTATAGACGACAACATCTTGACATCAACTACAATATGTAGAACGTAGCCTACAATGTAGCATCACTTTGGAACATTTCTTCAACTTTAACACTTAAATGATTTTCATTGAATATTGGAGCCAAATGTTCAGTTTTAATGTAGATTTAAAATTTTCTTCAAGACATTTAAAATCTATTCTAACTTTAAGGCAGCTGATCTACGAACAATAGGTTTGCGCCACCGGGGTAACAGCTGAATATTACAGGACGTCCAAAATCAATCACAAATATCGACAAATTGCTTCAGCTTGGCAAATATGCAGTAAATTGGAAGAAATACGTGGATATGAGAAATTTGATGTTTAATCACATTTGTTGAATTGGAAAATGATCAATATTGTTGTTTATCAAAATGAATTAATAAGGCAGTGATTATGGACAGGTAAGAAGCTAAATTATTTTCGTATGCTTGTAACTTTTATGTTCTGTTTCGGTTATAGCATAATATAATTTAAAAGGGTGTAAGTTATTTCAACATGAACATATAGACATTTGACGCAAATGTATTTGGGTGATTCTATTCAGTTATTCATCTACAATTTATGCGGAAAAACCTTGTGGGTTAAATGGTTTCAAATAGTACGTGATGTTACATGATACAATTTGTATAATTGGATAGCAAATCTGCTGCTCATGTTTAAGATTGTTCAGGGACCGGTCGTTGCAACGTTATAAATTGTTTTTATTTGTGGTGTAAGAAAAGGTGAATTAATTTGTCCATAGATTTTACCTTTTGTCAATCAATAACATCGTTATTCATGTTTATCACCTAGACCAGCTTTGTAGAAAACAATAATTAATCATTTTGTTCCAGTTATTTATGAAATGATATAACCCATATTGGTGAATATATGATCAACCCAAACAAAACATGCCAGTTCGTTTACCAAGAAGACGGTTTTCATTTTTACTGATATTAATTCCTGCAACTTGGCTCCTGGTAGTTCTCTGTATATCATTCAGATTTGAAAGCGAATCGAGAGAACATAAGCACGAATATAGATCAGAAGCTAAAGGACTTCTTCCTTCGTTAGTATTCAACGAAAACGGGGAGATAAATGCCAAGTTCAGAAACTCGGAAATTGATAATCCTCTGGAACTGGAGGAGGATGTAATTAAGAAATTTGAACTCGAAGACCAACATGAATTGCAGCAAAGGGAGATTGAAAACCAGTTAGAAGGTTTAATGGATATGGAAGATAAGATCAACAAAGTAAAATTGGAGAAACAAATGCCTGTGGTATACAAAAAGCAACAAAATCCGTTTCTAAACAGACTTAAAAACAATGAAATAGTAATAAATGTCTCGAAATTCGAGGACCAAATAAAAGGCAGAAATGAAATCGATGAAAAAATCAAGTTGCTGAAAAGTAATGGAACTGAAAAGCTGGGTAAATATGATATTATGCATAAGCGGACAGTTCCTTTCAAATCTACGTAAGTTGTGACAGGATGTTGATATTTCTTTCTTTTCCTATGTCTTTGGAAAATCAGAACTGACTTTTGAACATTTTGTCTACAAAATGGATACTTCATAGGCATTAAAGATGGGATTCCTTTTTTGTTAAGAAAATTAAGAAAACTATTGGAGTAATTTGTGTTTCTAATGAATTATAATGAATTCTTAATCATATCATTATGTTATTATTGCATATAAATCATTATGTCCCTGTATGTAATGTCTGGATAAAGAAATCCTTTCTTGATCGGTCACTCATTGGAATTCTGCTGATAATTCTCTTCAAACTGACAAACTGGTATTTTTCCAAGTCATTAGAACACCTCTACTTTCTCTTTATGCAAGTATTTTCATTTTCATAAATGAAAATAAGGGAAGCCATCTTTAAAGTGTATATTTATATACTGTCATATTACATTAGTGTTTACTGTCAAATTGTTACCCCATACAGGTGAAAATGGAGTGCCAATATTTTCTGAATATAGAAAACTTAACGCAGAGGAAAAAGATAAATATGTAAAGGGAATGGAAACCTATCAGTTTAATGAATTCATAAGTAATACTATTTCTCTTCAAAGAACGTTACCGGACGTTCGAAATTCAGCGTAAGTTGTCTGATCTTTAATAAACTATTCTTGCTGCTTTCAGTAAAACATGCTTTGGCTTAAAAGAAAGTTGTATTAAATCAGTATCTCCGCTTTCATGCCTCAAGTCTTTAGTAGAAATGTTTCTTGGGGGTTAATATATGCTTTGAAAAAAAAAACAGAAAGAGATGGTGCATCACTTTGTATCACGATATACATGTACCACGATTGCGTTCTTTAAACAATTAAGCTATTTGTTTCTAGTTGTCGAAGCAAGCAGTATCCAGAATTACCTCAAGTATCTATCATTATTACATTTTATAATGAAGCCTGGTCAACACTATTACGAACACTGTATAGTGCCATAAACAGAGCACCAACAGAGTTGATATACGAAATCCTTTTGGTTGACGACAATTCTAACTTAGGTAGGTTGTCGATACAAAATATCTATCACTTTAGCATACAGTGTTATTGTTAACGATATTTGTGACTAGCATTTATTGGAGCTAAAAGCGACTGGGAAATAAGTCAAAGAAAGTCGCAAATATTATGATGTCCTACTCGTGCATGAACTAGTTTTAGAGTATGATTACCATGCGTTGGAATATTATTGCATCTGAGAAAAAATAGACTATTTCCTTTAATCGTGCTGATAAAAGGTTTGTGTCAAAAAGACCAATAAGTTAAAGGGTGGATTAAGAAAGATATTGCGGTAGGATATGGAAAAGTTTGATAAATGGATGTTTTTGAAATGAAACAATGCTTGTTGATAAGTAAAAGGTTTCATTATTTTGGAGAATAGATTTGCTGATTCAAAACGCACCATTTATTAGAGTAATATGGTTCATATGGAATGGGTTGCTTGAAGACTTTATCAAATGTTGTAGTTCTTTATTACAGACCATTTGAAAACACCACTTGAAGAATATCTGGTGGCAAACTTACCACAAGTAAAATTGATACGTAGTGATACAAGGATAGGTTTAGTTAGAGCGAGGTTAAAGGCCGTAGAACAGGCTAAATTCGGAATACTGGTGTTTTTAGATTCCCATATTGAATGTTTTCAAGGTAGGTACTGCACCTCATCTTCTCTACATCAACCTATTGGATAGAAATTTATTAGCAAATATACGTGACGATAATTTCGACGCAAATAGTAGATAGCTCTGTCAAAGATAGTTATTGAAAACATCATTAAAATAATTCACGTCTTGTATTATCAATCAGAAATTAATTAATTTTAGGTTGGTTAGAACCTTTGATAGAACCACTGTTAAAAAATCCACAAACCATAGCCACCCCCATTATTGAGATGATTGACTATAAAACGTTTGGTTTGGCCAACTCCGGTGAAGGTATGATAGGAACACTCAATCTACCTACCATGACGTTTGATTGGAGTAAGGCTCCCAGAAGAATTTTAGATATGAGAAAATCACCAGATGACTACTATTTGTAAGTTTTGTTGGTTTCTGTGGAAGTTAACGTGGTAAAGATTAAATGACAAAAAGCGCACCAATAATAAACATGTCTTCTGGTTTGACGTCAGATAGGAATATTTGATTAATATTTAGATCTACTGTATACTATCATTTTCCAGATCACCCACAATGGCTGGAGGATTATTTTCTATCTATAAAGAATATTTTAAAGTTCTGGGAGGCTATGATGAGAACCTAGAACTGTGGGGTAGTGAAAATCTTGAACTATCATTTAAGGTAATTAAAACTGAAACATCATTCAATCACAGTTTACAAACCCCACTTGATCCAAACTAAATCGGGAGAGGATTTTTTCACTCACCGTAATCCACCTAGGTTGTTAAAAGGACAGATTTTCCATTTTCGAGGGTCAATTTAGTACCAGAAATGAAAAAAAAAACAACAAAAAAAAGCTTTGAATTCCACTTTCTATTTCTATACATGTATTATACATTTATATAGTTGAAAATGACAAGATGTAATTTTAACTTTCAAACCCGGATAATATTCTGGACATACACGGATTTGAATGCTCAAGTTACGACGGTGGGCTGTAAACACTATTACTGATAGGCTTAGCTAAAATTCTGAAGGTCAAATGGATGGCGAACCTGTCCATCAGTATTTCGACAGTACACGTCTCTTGATTTTATTGTGAAGACCTATATCAGTAAATATACAGGGCCTACTTTTTTTTTATTTTCAGACGTGGATGTGTGGCGGTAACATATTAATCAATCCCTGTTCTCATATCGGTCATATATTCCGTCCACACTCACCCTATCTTAATGAAACTCACAAAGATACTATCGTAAAAAATAAAGCCCGAGTAGCGGAGGTTTGGTTAGATGATTATAAGAACTATTTTATTGAAATTGAAAAGGTTGATCAGGTAAACCAACTTTTAGGTAATCTTCAATACGGCATCTGCTATTTCCATCAACATAACTCTACATGGACAACTTAATGGTCTGCAAACAAGTACTAGACATTCTGTTAAATAGGGGTGAATGTTTGTCTTACTATAAACTTTATATTTTTTCATATATGTAAATTGACATCTTCACGAACCATAGCGGATTAGGACTTAAATGTAAATCTTGAAACTATTTAAGGGAACAATGCAATGTCCATTCCTTGTTTGTTAGAATGACTATGTCTACCCCATTGACAACAAAACTTTCTCATGTTACTCTGACAGTTCCTGTCTAACTATTGTGTTATTTCAGAGTAAAATAGGTGACGTTAGTGTCCAAAAGAAATTAAAATCTGATTTAAACTGCAATGATTTCGATTGGTATATAAGAAATATATATCCTGAACTTTACGTACCTGGTGTTGGCCCTCAGTTTGGCGAGGTAAGAATTCTTCTTCAGCTAATGGAGACTGAAGTCGACCTAGCAGATAGAATCTAAGAGCAATATAGAAACATCGGGGAAAATCATGTGAAATGCTAGTTCAGTCTTGTCGCTCATGAGAAGCTTTATATTACCAGTCTCCTAAAAGTTTTATTTTCTTAACATTAATGTAAAGGATAAGGTTGATATCCCATACAAGAACTACAGAATACTAAACATGAACCAGGAATTCAAGATTAAACTTTGGTGGCTCCTTTAAATACATGTACTATAAATATGTATTTTATAGATTGTGAATGAAGGCACTAAATTCTGTCTCGTAGCTAAAGGCATTAAACCCGAATTAATACCATGTGAACAGAAATTGGTGGTGTGTATAACATTTTGTCAATTTTGGGGGAAAGTGCATTTATCTTATCTTATTCTCGTCGTTTGCAACGAAATTTCCAAAACTAGCCGTCTTAATGAAGATCAGGTATCAGAAATACGTCACTAAGAGAGCATGTGGTAGTCATCTTCAAACAGTGGCGACGTCGACTGCGGTACAAATGAGGGGCATACTGGCTCCATGGGGGGAGGGGGGGGGGAGGGGGTGCAACAAACGAGGCTCATATCGCAATCATATCGCTGCAGTTACAAATTTCCGTGATGGCATGTGTTAGCAGATGGTAGTTGATCTTGGTTTTGTGTTTCAGCATATATGGGATTCAAGTCGTATCAATGAAATAAGATTCAATGACAGATGTTTAGACGTAGAAATCAGTAATTATAATACGGTCATCATGTCAAAATGTACGGGAGAAGGAACCAGACAGGCCTTCATTTATACAAAGGTAAGCTAAATTGGTTTCACTGTAACATATTGGGTAATAGACTGTAATGGCAACTATTATACAATTTTAGTCAGGTAATATATTTGTTAGAAAACATTACTTATGCCTACAGTTTGATTAAATTACTGAATTATCAAGGTAACATTTCTCTGTTGAAATTTATATTGAATTATGTGGCCAATCATATACTTTCAGGAAGGGTATATAATCCACAGAATGACTGAATTGTGTTTAACTAGTGTTATACCTTATACCTACGTCGTGCTCGAGCCATGTATATTTACTATAATGCAAGGATGGGGCTGGAGTTCTAATCCTAACTTTAGACCTCTGTGATTCGCCAGAAGAGTGAAACTGGTAAAAATGGTCTCAAACGTTATTTGAGTATATACGTAATGGAAGTCATGAAAAAGAGTGTTCTTGGTATTTATTTTATTCCAGATTTGACAATAAAACTATAGTTTCGATTTTCCTAACAGGTCCAAATTATAAATAAAAAAGAAAGTCGATGCGGGACAACAGATTAGAATATTTCGTTTCATGTAAAACAAATGGCCATTCCGAATTTTACCAGAAACCTTTGGCGTTTTTGTGCAGTTTGGCACGATGCTGCAAGTTGGGCAATGCGGCAAAAAGAACCCATTGCCAATCATCACATTAAAGACGTCACAATTGAGTAACACTTTGTTTCAAGAACATTTGATTTTTCAACCGCAAAAAGCTTAAGCTTCATTTGTTAATCTTGTTTGATTTGAATTTAGCTTCAAAACCGACACATTAGTTTTAGTACCATTGCTATATTCGGGCGAGAGTTCTAAATCCCATAGATTGTAAGGTATAATAGATACTTATACATGGTCCCTGGATCTAATAACTTTATTTTTGTTCTTTGTATGAGTGATATTTTGTATTTGATAACAATTTAGTTTAGTACTATTTTTTACGTAGGTCTATATGTTAAGGAACATAAATGTGCATGACAGGGGCGTAAAGCCTTCATCATCTACAGCTTTGTTCAGTGTGATTTCATTGAAATAAATCAGCCATCAAGAAGCAGACTAATTGAAGTTCATTGAAGCCTAATTACCCCCCTTGACGTTGCCTGTGCCTTTGTATAATATTTTGCCTATAAAATAAATAATAATTTGAGAATTATATAATTAATTGAGAAGTATATGAATACTTGCCCCCTTACCCCCCCTCCCTCTTCCTTGACGCCTATGCACATCACGTACGTCTGAAGAAAAACCCGTACAGCATGTTCATTTTATTAAAGCAAAATAATTTTTTATGTTTAGATGCAAGAGTCATTTTTCTTTCAAATGGTATGATTTTATCAAAATAAAATAAAATGTAGCCACTCTGTCGTAACATAGTCAGATTGAATGTTACCTAAATATATGTACATTGTCCATATTATCAAATATAACTTTCAGAGTTTGCATGTGTAGATATATTTGGAATGTTACCCTACAACAGACTCAACTAACTATGGTTACTGATTTCTGTGTTTTAATTTCCGATTCAGAAACCTGTGCCCCTTCTGTTTCTGTTGAAAACTTTACAGCTTTACGTGGAACCATTTTAGCTAAAGGAATATTAGCATCTAGTGTGTCTGCTCGTTCTGTTGAAACTGAAATATGAAAAATCAACGAACTTGTGACAAAGTAGATCCAAACGGATACAATGCAAAAGGAGATCTTACAAGCGTTGATGTGAATGAATATTGATAGGAATGAATGTGAATGAATATGGATAAGAATGAATGTGAATGAATATTGATAAAAATGAATATTGTTAGGAATGAATGTGAATGAATATTGATAAAAATGAATATTGTTAGGAATGAATGTGAATGAATATTGATAAGAATGAATATTGATAGGAATGAATGTGAATGAATATTGATAAGAATGAATATTGATAGGAATGAATGTGAATGAATATGGATAAGAATGAATGTGAATGAATATTGATAAAAATGAATATTGTTAGGAATGAATGTGAATGAATATTGATAAAAATGAATATTGATAAGAATGAATGTGAATGAATATTGATAAGAATGAATGTGAATGAATATTGATAGGAATGAATGTAAATGAATATGGATAAGAATGAATGTGAATGAATATTGATAAAAATGAATATTGTTAGGAATGAATGTGAATGAATATTGATAAAAATGAATATTGTTAGGAATGAATGTGAATGAATATTGATAAGAATGAATGTGAATGAATATTGATAGGAATGAATGTAAATGAATATGGATAAGAATGAATGTGAATGAATATTGATAGGAATGAATATTGATAGGAATGAATGTAAATGAATATGGATAAGAATGAATGTGAATGAATATTGATAGGA